AGGACAATTTTGGAGCGCCCAGCCCCAACCGTGTGACACAGCTGACAGAAAAGCAAACCAAAAATCTCATCAAGAGGAGCACACAATAGCTGACACCCAGGAGCGGAAAAGGCTGCAGCCGTTCGGCTCCGCGTTCAAGGCTGTAATTATGCAATCCAGTGGGATGTTCAGGCGAACATCTGCTAGACGGGAAAGGTGCAGCCTTATCTGAACACAGTGTTCCCGCTCCCTTCCACGCCGCCGGTCACAGGAGGATTGCAGAGCGCAACAACACACGCTCCCCAGCACGTCCGAGCGCCCACGTGGGCAGCGGCAGCAGAAAGGGGGGATAGGTGCTCCGGAGGTCAGGGACCCCGGCTGGGGTGCTGGGGACGCCAGCCTCTTCCCAGCCTCTGGCTTCTCTCTTTATTACAGCCTGCGAGTCCAAATCTGTCTACGAGAATTCACAGCAAAGCTTGATGAGGATTAATTAGAGACAGCAAACATCGCGGCAGGAAGCGCACCCTCTCCAGGACAGAGCCAGCTCTCTGCGCCTGTGACGGCACCCAGGCACAGCGGCACCACGCTGAAACCACGACGCCAATTTAGAGCGAGGCCATAAAACGCTGAAGGGCTTTGAAGTCACGTTCCTCACAACCATCCAGAAGAGCCAGAACAACACCCAGCTGTCCCCTTACCTTTGCTGGGGGGTAGGATAAGCTTCACATCCCCTCCTAGAGGGTCCCAACCCAGTGACACCGCTCGCTGTGGCATCTCCTGGCTGCTGGGAGAGCTCAGCAGCGAGAAGACAGAGAACCTCCTGTTGCCTTTCCAGTTGCGCTGCAAAACCATCAGGGCCCTGAATGCAGTGCATGACCCCAGGCAGCCCCTGGGACTCTTTTTGTGTGTTCAGATGGAGTTTTCAGCTGCCCAAAGGCCCCAGAGAGCGCCAGTGACACCGCTCACTGTGGCATCTCCTGGCTGCTGGGAGAGCTCAGCAGCGAGAAGACAGAGAACCTCCTGTTGCCTTTCCAGTTGTGCTGCAAAACCATCAGGGCCCTGAATGCAGTGCATGACCCCAGGCAGCCCCTGGGACTCTTTTTGTGTGTTCAGATGGAGTTTTCAGCTGCCCAAAGGCCCCAGAGAGCCGTTTCCTAACCCCAGGTCAGAGAAGTACAAGGCAGCTCTGCGAAGGCCGGGTCCAGAATTCACTTCCCTCCTTTGTTTTCCGAGCATCGCTATCTCCCCGCCTGTGGGCTCCTGCCTTGAAGCAGGATCAGCACTTTCAATGCAGGCAGCGTCCTACCTCCGCGCAGGGAAAGGATGCTCAGCTGCATCCTCCACCCTGCTGCTCTCCGAGCGCCTCTAATACGGGCGAAGCGCGAGCTGGCTAACCCAAGGTCCCGCACCGCCTGCCAGAGCCGGAGCAGTTATTCTGCCCCAAACACACAGGGTTTGCAGCGTGGCAGGGCTCGGTGCTTTAGCTGCACGAGGCTTTAACGTCAGACCTCAGCACCTCCTGGGCAGGTAGGGATTAGTGCTGCTGGAGGCTCTTCTCCACATCCGACCTTCGCGAGCTCCCCTTGCTACGCGCCGTCCCTGCCAGGATACCTTGCGAGGCTGGTAGCTGGCACGAGACAAGGAATTGGTGCCTGAAAAAAGCCACTTCACTGGACCCGATCCCAAAAATTCTTAAGCTGATAAATAGCACAGGATATTGTTAGTGAGCGGGCAAAACTCCTTTAACTAGAGAGCAGGAGGATGCCTCTGCACCTCGGCTTGGTCCCCTTTCCAATACTGCTTCTCGGGGTATCCCTCCAAAGGGTCTCAACCTGTCTTGGGAGAGATTGGCAAGGCAAAGAAATCATTCGGGCTGCCTGTAGGAGCAGCACAGCAGACCCAAAGAGCGCCGGACTGCAAGCTACATGAGACAGTGACAAACTACCCCCCCCGTTTCATCTCTCAGCCCCTTCTCACAGAGGGTTCTGCAGCTGAACAAAGTTGGCACCTCCGACCCAGCAGGGATGGGCCAGACTGTTTATCGCTTCCACCATTCCAAAGTGTCTTCCTATGGATGTTACTTGACAGAGAGCTTACTCCCCTTGCTCATTCACCACCAAGAATTATTCTCAGACTAAATTACATTGAAATAGAAGAATACAACTCAGGAAAGATATCCTCCTCCCCAAATCTTCCATCTTCTGACCTTCCAAAAGATGCGCTGAAGTCCAGTTACTACAGTCATGGCAGGTAAAGAAATCCACCTGAAGTTTCGCAACCACCAGCTCCCACCACACCAGGATACACAGAAGTTACCACGGCAAGCACAGATTTAAACCCGCGAGAGCTCTGCATCCCGACCAACAGCCAGTTCCAAAGGGAAAACGGCCCCTTTGTCCACAGGCCACCCTTCGCCAATCATCCCGGAGATGCACCTGGATTTTTAACGAGTGGAGTATTTCCTGATTTACTCCGTAGCCAAAGCTGCTCGTCTAAATCCTCCTAAGATTTAATGCCGCTCTTGCTAATGTCACTTGACAGAGATTTTCCAGGGGTGCTCAAACACTGAAGACTTGAAAGGGTATTTCAGCACAGGGTTGCGTACAACGCATCACTGGATGTAAAGTCCTTTTGCTAGGCTGCTCACATCAGGTTGAGTAAATTCTTCCAGGTTGCCACAGGTGCTGCGGACACCACTGCAACACGCATGCGTCCGTACGGATTTGCATCGTGCCGCTGAAGAGATGAGGCGGGGGGGACATCTGTAACTTCTATCTATCTGTTTCAAAAACAGATGTCAAGGTAAAAGCATCAGGCTGAATTTCCGGACCTGTTTTCAGAGCGTGGGTTTGTGATACAGCCCCTCGGAGCAGGCCCTCCATGCAACTCAGGCGTGGTTTGCAAGTTGACCAGGTCCCACTGAAAAGACATCATTAAAGAGACGCGATGGGACGAGTGGACCAGCGATACGCCCGTGTTCACGGCACCTGCTTGTAAACAAACCTAAACTTGTGCTGCCCTAACAACTAGAAATTCAAGCTCTCCTGCTGCATGCATGTCTCTTCTGACCTCGTTAGGCACCAAAGCTATCAGAGATTTCTTGGCCTCATTCAAAATTAACCACCCCGACTCACACGTGGCAGAAAGCCAGGTCTGGCTGGCATTTTGCTGCTTCCCACCAGCGCGTCCTCCGCCCTTGTCACAGCACCCTGCCACCCTCTTCCTGCACAGGCCACATGGATTTCGCACAACCCATCCAAACCCTACGGCAAGCCACAGTGGGGGCTAGTCAGCTCCTTAGGAGCAAACCCTGCTTAATCCACTCCAGCTACTGCAAATCCTTTCCTCCAGATGGATCCTAGCCCTCCCCAGACATGCCAGCACCTCCTCTCTCCCCCCGACGGAGGGGGCTGGTACCTGGGGGGGGTCCCACCCCTCCAGTCCTCCTCTCCTCCATCGGGGCTCTGTGAGCAAACATCCCCTGCAGCAGCAGCTCTGGACAGACCACGTACCCGTGCTGTGAGTGAGGAAGGACCTCTAGGGCAAGAGCTACTGCCGCAAGGCATGGGGGGCTGTAGCTTAAGAATAAATTTAAGTTATTGCTCACCACCACGTTCTTTTCCCACCAGCCTTGTTATGGCCACTTCTGCTCTCTGTGATTATAGAGTGTTTCGGTCGGGTGCTCCTGCTCCGCTCTAACAAAGGCACCTGAACAGATGGAACAAAACAAGCCACAGCAGAACAAGCTCGAAGATGAAGTGTGCTGCCAAAAATCGTAACTCAAAGTTTCAGCAAGTAGTCTCTTCTCTCCCCAGGAGCCTGGCTGTAGCATGGCAGCTAGTGACTCAGCTATCAGCTGAAAATAAGTACCTAAAAAGTAAGGACATTTAAAAAAATACTTCTTGAGCTCTTAGTAGGAAATACAAACAGGTGAGACACGTAGATGGCAGGGAGAGAGAGCCTGGTGCCCGTGCTGGGCTACCAGGATGTTTCAGTTGCATTATGCTGACGATCGGGGACAGCCTCCCCCCGTACAGGGAACCACAAGCGCAGGCTCTTCCTGGCACGGAGCCCCTCAAAAGCGAGGTCACAACAGTGGCTGCTCCAGCCCAGCCTAGAGGTTTTTCACTTGGCAGCTGAGCCAGGCATTTATTACTCCTATTTAACCAAGTGCAGCCATGTCCATTTATTTACTCATTTGGGAACAGGCTCTGCTCCAGACTCTGTACAGGTAAGTGTCCAAAACTACAGATACAGAAGGACAAAGAGCAAAATCCAGAAGAGCACTTAGGCTCCCCAAGTGCTGCGCAGGCAGAACCGAGGCACTGGCTATCCTCAAGCTCCCGAAGGCACCCGGGGTGCTGAGGACACTGCAGGTTTCTGGCACGGTGTTCCCAGAGGCACACGTTCACACCCGGTTCAGCCACAGCCCTCCACAAGCAGCAGTGTTCGGGGTTCAGCACGGAGACCGCGGTCGTTGCCGAGCTGTGCACCAGGCAGGTGTTGTGCTTACCCTTTGTATCCTGCACTTACACCGCCTGCGCGGGAAGCAGGAGTGGCCAAGGTCTTCCTGAAGTGGCACCGTGGTTTCTGGGACGTGTGACAGCAGGCTGTCATTAGGTGAAAGAAAACAAGTTACCGTGGAGCTGAGCTGCAGCTGGCTGGGTCAGCTCTTCTCCCAGCTTTCCAGAGCCCCCAGCTCTTGGGCTGCGGGTTTCAGAGCAGCCCCGTGCTAATGAAAGGCATTCATTAAACACAGAAAGCTACAACTGAAGAACACGGGGCTGCCAGGATAGGTGACCGTCTCAGGAAGAGCCCGGTCTGGCTGGCCACGTGGCTCATACACGTGCATCAACAGAACTGCGTAAACTCGAGGTGCAACTGGGAATAACTGGTCATACAGGTCCTAAAGCAGAGTCCTGAACCACGAACAACTCCTGAGCCCTTCTCAGGGCTTTATTCAACATCTGCCCGACACAAGGGAAAACTGGGGATGCCCTTTGAAGAACAGGTATGGGATGAAGTAATTAAAGACAGCAACGTGGTGTGAAGTTCTGCCTAGAATTTCTGAACTATGTAGAAGAATCTCCCAGGATCTTCAATACTGTCTGCTAGGACTTCAATAAAACCAGAAGTGAGGTAGCTCCCTGAGCCATAGCACTGCAAGGCTGGACCAGCCAAACACACTGCCACCGACTTGCAAAGGAGCGGGGCAGAGCACAATCTGCTCCCGCGTTTGGAGAGAAACGGCAGCCACGGCCAGGCATGCAAGCATCACATGTTCACTCTGAAAAGCATCTCCAGGAGGACAACCCAGCCTCTCACATGGGATTCCCCTCCTGACTCAGCTGGTAGTGGCCGGCTCTCTGGTTTATGATGGTGGTGTGCGTCGTGGGGTCGGAGGAAGACAGAGACGTGCGGTAACTCTGGCCAACAGCTACGTAACGGCTCTCAATAGGTAACACAAGATAGACAGGGCTGACATGGGAAGTCCCATGGTTTAAACTCGCATTTCCTGGCTCCCAAGCCATTAATCTTCTTCCAGGCCAGACAGCTGAAGCCTATCAATCCGGACCCACCAAGCAGCGGGACTCCTCCAGCCTCACCAGCGAGATTTTAATGGGAGAGTCGTTTTTACAAGGCACAGCAAATGGAAGTTAGAAGGCTTAGAGCAGTCAGGTGCTGGCGGCCATCCAGGGGAAGAGAAGAAGCCAGGTCTGATGAAGCACAGCCACCCACAGACACCGCACACTGCTCAAGGATGAACCTGACCAAGCTCTGAAGTTCTGGATGGGGCAACACTTCTTGGCTTTTCACAAAAGAGGGTGCATTGGTTTTGCCAGAAGTTAAAGGCCAGCCATAAGGCAAAGGAAGTTGGGAGACCATTATCTTGGCAAGTCAAAGCACCCAAAAGCAGGAGCTCTAATAGGAAACCATTAAGTAATGGGCAGCAGCCCTTGCCACCTCTGCCTGTAACCCATTCCTTTTTCTTTTAGGTGAAGAGCCGACATTCAGGCACATCTTATC